CTAGCAAACACGAATAATTACAAAAAAAAAACCACAATAAAAATAGCAGCTCTAGCATCTCATCAAGGGACATACTCTTACGCTATACCTTTTACCAAAACACTAAATGAAGTAACTGGGGATATGCAAATTTGCTTAGGGGCCATTTCAGGTCTCTAACAGAGTAAGCACACTGGAGGAGCATGCGCATCTGCTAGAGGGGAGCTCTAGGGGAGTGTGTGCACGGGCGCGCGCGTCTGGCCCCAGGGATTCCCCAGCACACTGGTACAGTGTTTCCCAGAGCATATGCACCCCCATCCACCATAAGCCAAACTGCCTGTGCACATATGGAAAGGCATTACAGAAAACTTTGTAACCCAACTTTTAGGCTATAGGTCAAACGATGTCCGAACTGGGGCCATGCCAACGCCTCCAGTTTTCTGTGGGGCAACAGGACTGAAGTGGAAACAGTCATGTTTTATTGCTTGTACTACTTCTAAACCCCTTGCCTGAATTTTCCAGGAAAAATGCTTACTCACTCACCTCCATGATTATGCAAGAACATGGCACCTGGAGCAGAGAGGCAGAGATGTACAATGAGAGCTGGTAAGACTGGGTGTGGTGGCTGTAATGGCAGGGCAAAGGGTATCTTCAGCAAAGAATAAGGATGTAATTACTAGTGGCCAATTTGAGGAAGTGGTACCTAGTTTTCTACTTGAAGCTTTTAGACCTATCTCCTATTTTGTTTCTGCCATCTGGTAAGTAAACAGCATTCCTTACTAGCCTGAAACAAGGTAAGCCCCTGTTTACTGAGTGTGTGTTATGATTTGCAGTCCTGTGTTAGGCAGAGAGGCGAACTGGCATTTGTTCTAAATTGGTGTCTCAGTTGGGGTAATCTTAACCATTCCTCCTTCAGGGGACATTTGGCAATGTCTAGAGACATCTTGGGCTGTTAAACTAGAGAGGTACAGGGCGGGGGATTTAGCTCAGTGGTGCCACCACCTGCCTCACAAGCCCAAGGACCTGAGTTTGATCCCCAGTACCAAAAAAAAAAAATAATAATAATAATAAAGTAGAGAGGTATAATTGGTTTCTGGTGGGTAGAGGACAGAACACTGCTGAGCATCCAGCTATGCACAGGAGAGCCCCTATAATCAAGAATTATCCAGCCCTAAACATCATTATGGTGAGAAACCTGCCTTCACAGCTCACTGTGATGGACAGGGTACCCACAACTGGGGTGGGGGTGTGAAGACCAGGTCAGGCAGCCACCAGAGCATCCTGGCTGTTATCAACAGGACTAGAGAAGACTAGAGAAGGAGATTATTACTGCATTAAAATGGAGTGATTCTATCAGGATGAGGCAGTGCATATCATTCTGCGAAGGCATAAGCTCACACTCACTCAACTGTTCTGGGAACACTGATCCTGACTTCCGGATCTCACAGAGAGTTGTCTGACATACTAGCTCAGTCTGGGCAAAGGATTCAGGGTACATAGTTTATCTGACTGAAAGATAAATAACCACAGATGGAATTCCAGGACTTAACCAAAAGATAAGCTTTTGCATAACAAGAAATTTGGTAGTAATGTCTTTGAATTAACAGTTGCCTCCAGAGCCAAGATGCAAATAAAGAACTTCAATGACCATTAGACCTTTATGTGCTTATAATAAGCACTTGCTCCCTTTGTACAGGTGAAGAAACTGAGGCTTAAAGAGAAGTGCTAAGAAGTCCCACAGAGAGGCAGTGGCAGAGCCAGGATTTAAATTCAGACTCTGTGTGGTGTGAGGAAATTGTTGTTTTTTGATCTACACTGTCTCATAATGAGACTATCACTTATAGCAACCTGGGTTTTGTCTGGGGCTGCTGTGGGACAGAAGAATAAGGAAAGGAAGGAAAGAGAAAAGTTAGAATCCACACTTCACTTAAAATGAGAAAGGTTAATTAGTCACAGCATTTTAAAACAACAACATAAAGGGAAGATATTATCCCAATGAGAAGAGAGAAAAATGAGTTCTTTGGAAGTATCTTATGCATTTCTTAGTATGACAATATTCTGCCAAGGAATGAAAGTCAAAGACAAAGTATGCCTTGGAAGTTCTATGGAGAATGAAATACAGATGATACTAAAAGCACAAATTTGCAACAGCCAAATTACAGCAACACTTTCAATGGTAAGTGGAAATCTGAGTAAGACAAGTAAATCCACTGTATGTACACAAAACATGCTTGGAGTGCAGGGCTTTTCTACACACACGTACAGCACCACAGTGTGCACGTGCAGACATTTTGCAGAGAATGTACTTTGTACATGTCAGCATAACAACACCTTGTGTAGAAGATAATGTTCCTTTCTAACTATTGTTAAATTGTATTCATAAAACATGAAAAAACTTTTATGCCTAGGAACTTGTTGATTACTTGTATGCTGGAAAACTACTATATGTTAAAATAGGATTTCCTTTTTCTGTTGGTCCAATGGTGATGTGGAAGAGAAAGACAGTCAACTCAAAGAAGTAAAACATGACCACACTGAGGGTTTTATATGCAGGCAGTGTGCTAAGCACTTCGCCTGGATTACCTCATTTCACCCTCCATACCTTTGCTAGGTAGATACTACTATCCCCACTTACAAAAGGGGAAATCGAGGCACAGGGGAGTTAAGTGACTTGTCTAGCTGCGACAGAGTAGGATTTAACCTCTGATGATACAACAGTTTAAACCCACAAGGAACTATTTGCATTTATAAACATAAGGCCAATTTCTAATTCCCTCTGCCACTGAATTTGGGACATCTGCACCTACACTGCCTTACCAGCTAGGTTAAAATGTAATTAGCTCATTCATATTATATGCTGTATAATATGTACAGAAATTATATTCAAAGGGCTTACATTTGAAAACATACATTAGATAAAAATCCTACCCCCATTATGAATTTAGAACTATAATTTTGAATGCTAAACTTAGAGTATTTACAGATTATTTGACTCTAGAGGAGATAACCTTCTTCTCCATGCTCTACTTGATTAAAAAAAGGTCCTTTTAGAAACAAGAATAGCTTCACCTTAGAGAGAGAATTACAATACATAGTAAATACATAAAACACTCTGAAGGAGGGCCGCAGGAGGAAAAGAAGTACAGGGTAGAGAACAAGTATCACATAACAGGTGCTTCAAGAAAGGCTTCAAAGAGTTTAAAGTAGAGCACTCTGGAAGGGTTTTGAGCACGTAGTGGCATGGCTAAAGCATCAGTGGAGAAATTAGATCATGATCAAGGTTTTGGGCAAAGATTTACATGCCACTGGATTACTACAGAGACTATACAAAAGTAACAGGCAGTACACAAGACACAGTACTTTTACTGGCAAGGGCAGGTCATCGAGGGTGTCTGACACTCAGCCCTACCATCGGAAACCCAGGCAACCCCCAGGGAACAACACACCAGATAAGCGGATGCACTTTCACGGGAACAGAATCAGAACACGTTGGGGTCTCTCAGGGGTCCACTCTTAGCAGAAGGGTGGGACTCATGGTATAATTTTAGACCTAAAAACAGTACCAAATATGTTTCACAATACAGACTATCAGATCGGATAGTTCTAAGCCTGGAAGTGCTAATGGATAGCCTTATGATGGGAAAAATTTAGGCAAAAATGAGTCATCTCCACTGCCTTTAGATCCAGGAAGAATACACTTCTTTCCCTGAGACTCTGTATAAGAACATGTGGCATAAATTCAAGTAGTAGTAAATCATCCCAATGGCCCTTCAACTCCCAAGGCCCACATGTTTTACTGCCTCCTGTCCGATTTAGAGAAAAGAGAAGAGGGGTAGGATAACCACATGTGAGAAGGGCAACAGCTGCCTGACTCTGGGAATACGGCAGGTGAAAGAAATCAAAAGGTAAACTGTGCCTGTCTGTCCTGCCCTTAACCCGCATCAACCAAGTAAACACCCTCACAGCCCCACTGGATAATGAGTTAAGGCCCACTGATTTATTCGATGACTAACTCTAATCTGACTCAATGAAATGTTTCCACTGTTGCATTAACTTCACTGAAGACACTGAGATACTGAATGAGAAAGCGTGCACACTCCATGCACACTACCAGGGCATGGAAGTGGTAGGCTGCTTACCGTGGTCCAAGATGTAAAACACATTGTTCTTCCCGCTGCATTTTCTCCAGGGCTTTGTCAATTCCAATGGGAATGTCATGGTCTTCTCCTTCACCAACAACGAATACCACATCTCTGCAATCGAACAACCTCCTGCCACAGCGGCCTTCCAGGTGGACTGAAGGTGAGGAGACAGGTCAGTCAACAGAGCTGTTCCTCACCGCGCTGCTTCATGAAGGTGAAAATGAATGGCTACAATGTCACAAATACCATTTCCGCTTTCTCACCTCACTGAGACACGCAGTAACCCACCCAGCCCGGAAGTTTAAGGGCAACCACATTTCTGCTTTAAATTAAATATATAATTGCTGATAACCATATCAATAAGACAGCTTAGTGGGTGATACACTACAAACAGGTTTATCTAAGCCTTACTACATGACAAATTCCTCACTTGGAACTGTGTCAAGAAATACTGTGCTGGATTATTTACACAGGTAATTATCAAAATGCCACACATTTAATATCACATATATAATGGCTTCACTGTCTGTAACTTCATCTTGACCCCCAACACCTAGGCAAAAGAAATCCCCCAACTAAGTGGTTATTTCCTCAAAGATAAACAGATTAATTGAAGCTTTTTCTTTAAGACTCCTCAAATGCATTTTGAATTGCTGGTGACCCTCTGCCACGGCCTTCTGAGCACTGGGATTTCGGGTATGTACTACCATGCATGGCCCCTAAAACATTTCTTTTCTAAGACTGATTGATCATTTAAGGATCAATAACTTGTTTTGGACTAAAAATCACTCATTCTTTTATATTCATCCCATGCCAATATGTAATTCTATCTACTTGGGAGTGAGGTGGAGATCACAAGTTCAAGGTCAGACCAGGCAACTTAGTGAGACCCTTCCTCTAATCACCAGGGATAGAACTCACAACCTTGCGCTTGACAGGCAGACGTGGTGCCACTGAGCTCAATCCCTGCCCCTCTAATCATAATTTTAAAAGGGCTACTGATATAACTCAGTTGCAGAATCCTTACCTAGCATGCACAAGCCTTAGGTTAAACAGTAGCGGGGGAAAAAAAAGCTGCTATTTCTAAAGGGGTTGAGAGTTCTTAGAAGTTTGTATAGCTAAATATTTTTAAGTCTGCCCAAGAAATTTAATTTAGACTAATGGATGACACTTTTCATAAAAAAAGATTTGCTGAACAAAGTGAATTTCATCCCATGTATTACATAATGTCTCAAGTATTGAGATTTATTGTCCTGGTAATTCAAAGATTAGTCAACAGATTTTTTTTTTTTTTTTTGCTTAAGGCGTATTGTTAGAAGCATCATCTTCCCTAAAGGAGAGTACATTTAGTAGGAGAGGAAATTATCAGTACATTTGCTGTGGCTTTTGGTTGATCAAGTTTGAATGTGTTTTCAAAACAGGAAATCCAGAGACTTTGTGAAAGACTCCTGCCTATGTGTCAGTTTCCTAGACTGGTTTTTAGCTTGTACGTATGTGCTTGAAATTATATAAATAATTTCAAAAGCTCTCTTCACGTGTGATAGCCCATCATTGAGGGGGAAAAAGAATGGCTACTAATAAACATACCGGAAAAGATAAATAAAGCAAGAAAAGAAAAAAGTCTAACAAAGGCATAACTAAGAAAGGAAAACATTCATCACAGCTAATCTCTCTGGAGAGACAATAAATCAGAGAACCAGTGTCTCTGACTATTTATAATTAGCTCTTATCAATACCTTATATATGGATGTGTATGGATGCTTTTTCCCTGATAAATCTAACTCTTCAAAATTGGACCTGAACAAGCACTACTACAGTACCATAAACCGATACTCAGACACACCCCTGTACCCTGTTTATGTGTTTAAACCATCACCATACAGTACTGACATTATCTGGAATGTCAGAGCAAAAGGCAGTATCAGAGCCCTAGGGTACATACAGACTCTGACTCTTCACCTCTACAAGTAGCAAAGGCTGTCACTTGCTGGATTACCGGCTTCTAAAGTTGGAACACTAGTGTGACAAGTTCTACAAGACTACTGGCCAGAACTCCCACACCACCAGAAGCCCACTGCCACAGGAGGGTCCCCCTTTGAGTGACAGATGCCTAGCTCTTATAGATCCAGTCTCCCTCTTTTATAAAACTGTTTTAACAACTGCAACCAAAGAAAACTGTGGCACCTCTGGCTGTGGAAGACATGTGGTTCCTTTTGACCTCATATCTCTTAGTGCAAATACTCACTTAATAAATATTTAATAATAACCACCATGACTCACTTGGGAGCTCAGCCTCTAGGGCTCAGGAGGTCTGTTGCTAATCTCAACCAGCATGATTTGCGGGAAGTAAATGATCTATGACGTGCTTAAAGAGAATGAAAGTGCATACAGGATGCTTCTACTTAGGGCTTTTTTTGGTAAAGAAAGAAATAAACAAGTTAAAAAGAGACAATATTTTCTCTTGACTTAAAGTCTATGTAACTTAAAGGGGTGGAGGTCCTCCAAACCCCCAAAAGTCAAACCAAACCAAATTACCCAAGCTTAGCTGTGCAATCCGAGTGTAACCACATCAAGTGAGCCCATCTGCTGCAAAACATCATTTAAACTGGAGCTCTGACTTATTGTTCTCTTACTGCCCTAGAGCAATTTTGTTTTGAAGAGCACAGAACACCCTGTTCCGAATGTGGCTGGCACATGAACTCGATGTGCTGACAGCAATTTGTACTCCGATTAAAATAGGGGAAAAAAAGCAAAGAGAGTGCACAGCAGTAACAAAAACTGGAATGCAAGAATCCCAAAACTGTACAGTTTGTATTTTAGAAAGCAGAACTAAGAAAGAAGCTTCAAAACTTAAAAAAAAAAAAGTGCTGTAAATGCTCCAGCCTAAAGAAGTTGATCTGGTAAGTGTCTGTTTTCCCCTTTTCTAATTATAGTAGTTGGTGTCTGATAGCTTTGCACTCATTCCCAAAACAATTACTGGGTCACAGGGATCTGAATGGGAATGTTGTAACGGCATTACTACTAGACAAGACTGGTCACTGGGCCACAGAAAACCAGGTTGTGACAGGTTACTCTCTCTTGGCCGGCCAAGGTTTTCCCTGTTGCCTAATTCATGCCAAATGAGTCTCTTTTCTTCTCCTGTCTAACAGAACAGGGCATCAAAAGAAGGATCTTAATGATCCCCTGGAAAGGACAGCAGAGGTGGATTTCTAAAAGCAGGAGAGGCATATCAATCACTGGTTTAAGGCAACAGTTTTGAATCAGGCATGGTGGTCATATTTCGCCAAAATGCCTTCCAACCTCCTCTGAACTACTCTGTGCTATCTGAGGTGAGCAAACACCACTGGGAGACTGCTTGCAGCACCGAGGGACAGAGGCTAGTGGGGCAGCCGGAACCTGGCTACTAGAACAGTGTCACGCTTACTCAAGTGATTTCTCAGTCTAAGCAGGTAGCATACACCCTGCAGGTAACTTTATCACCTACACAAACTCTTAACACTTCTCCCTTCACACAGCAGAGCACTCTCTGAGCCAGTCCCACTCTACCACTTAATAGCTGTGGCTTGGGAAGTTGTTTGTTTGTTTTTGGTACCAGGGATAGAACTCTGGTCCTCAGGTGGTGGCAACACTAAGCTAAATCCCCAGTCCTTGGGATAGTTGAAAACTGTAAGATGTTCAATTTCATCATCTATAGACTAGGGATAATAAAATAAACTCATAATTGTTGATTGGATTGACTTAGTGGTATTTAACGTGGAAACACTGTGTGAAGTGTGGATACGGAGAAGTTAGTTAAGATTACTTCCCTGTAATTAGTGGTAAAGTATACTAGATTAAACACATTTTAGAACTCTGTTTAGGAAAACATTTAATGGCTCTATAAAGAGGGCTGTCAAAGCATGAGTAAAATTCCTAGTAGGCAAAAGCAATGTCTTATACTTCTTTTGTACGTCATGGTGCCAAGTACACAGTTCAGGGCCAGAAAGTAAATACTTATTTAATGACTAATGTGAAAACAGGACATTAAGGAAAGGGTGGTAATTTTCACTAATTTATAGTTATTTTCCTTTTTAAATTCATTAGTCAGTACTCCTATTTTAATAAATTCCAGGAGGCTGTTCAAATTTATTACTGATACGGAGCTTTTTATAAGAGCATTCTAAAATAAATAATGCATTGGTTGGGGCTTTTGGGGACACAGTATTTTTTGACCTGAAGACTCAGAGATAACTTTTGCAAAGAAAGGAGCTATATATAGATCTAAAATATTTGAAAATGAACATAGTCCAATTTAGTCCAAGATCCTCTAACATACCGTGTTTCACAAAAACATATAAGAAAATGGCTTCAAGAGTTTGCTCTCTTCCTTGACTTATTTGCAAGGACATTCATAAATCCTTCAAAACCATGTGAATAAAAAACAATGAAAGTCTGCCTCACAGCTCTACCAGGTCTCAACACCAGCATACATGGTGGTTTCTAATTTTTGATACCTTTTTGTTTTTGCTATTTCATCTATGAAGTACATATAGCTAGATTCTATTATCATCATCTTTTACTTTATGAGACATCTGCCTTTAACAGGAGACTTTATCTCATTCTTATTTCTGGAATTACCCTTATTTTAGGTTTCCTATATAGCATTTTCTTATTATTTCTGCTGGATTGATAAAGCTTTTCTTGTTCCTCTGTTTCACCACTCTGCACTGGGGAATTCAGAAATTCTATTTGCTATTGTTACTAGTACTTCACATTCAATTTTTAACAAGTCATTTAAAGGTAGGTCAACTGTATATCAATGTCAAAAATTAACCAGCATAATTGTCCACGAAGTAAGAAAATTTTAGGGACCAGGGATTTAGCTCAGTGGTGTCGCTGCCTGCCTGGCAGATGCAAGGTTCCTGAGTTTGATCCCCAGTACCCCAAAAATTTTTTTTATGTATTTAAACTTTAAAATAATTTTAAATTAGTAAATGTTTGCAATACATAATAGTTATATTCTTCTTGGAGTTTTGGTACATATAAATACCACATTTTAATCCCTTCTACAAGGAAATAATTTTAGACAATTATGCCTCCTTTCTCCATTTCCTGACTACCACTGCTAAAAATCACCCCAGAACCTAGGTCCAGACTGTTAAATTATTAATGTTA